GGAGAGAAGAGGCGCGGCCGACACCAGACGCCGCGGTAGCGCGCGAGTTCTGAAATGTTCGAGTAAGGAGGACGGAAGATGCGAGCAGGCGGTGACAAAGGTGATCGAGCCGATCATTGTGACGAATAATACAGCGGAAAGATTATCAGACGTGAAAAAGCCGAATTTGACGGAGAGATCGCTGCCATTGGTCGTAACGAGACCTACGGTGAGCAGCACAACGGAAGCATCGTTGCTATTGATAAGGACGACCGAGACATTCAATGTGAAGACGAGCGGGTTGACGGAGAACGTCGTAAAACTGGCGATTGAGACGACGACGAAGCCGACGACGAGGCCAACGATGAAACCGACGATGAGGCCAACGATGAAGCCGACGATAAGGCCAACGAGCAGCACGGAAAAACCGACGGAAAGCGGCGCAACGAAGGACGCATCGAGTGATGCCATTGCTAATAAACTGTTGCCGAAGAGACCTATGGTAATGAAGAAGCCGACGTCCATAATGAGAAGAATAGAGTCGAGTGGTGCGAGAACGGTGGAGAGCAGTACAACGCAAAAACCTACGACGAGTCGCGCGACGAAGAAAATGACGAGGAAGTCGACGTTCCGCGATGCGAACTCACGAGCAAAGTCGAGCACCACTTGATATTTTATTTAGTAGCATTATAGTATATCCCGTTTTCGACTGAGGGAAAGTTACACGCATTCGTATGCGCACTTACGCATTCATCGCTCGCGCGAAAGACACCTGAAATGAATTGTCAGACGCCGCAGGAGTAATTTTGGAACTTTATATTTTATCGAAAAATTGGAATGATTCTATGTGCGTGCGTGCGTGCGATTTGTGTGATGATTTGGGACTGTGTGTGGATAGATGCATGCGTCCGTGTACATTTTTGTCTATGATTGTTACACAGCCGTCAGTCGAGGCGACTGACTTGTATGTCAAAAGCTCAGCGAACGATTAATGATACTCTTCTGTTTCTGAAAAAAAAAATGGTAGTCGTTAAATACTTTTGAAATATTCATAAGGAGTTGGGAGTATTCTTTTTTTCATTTAAGGGGATTATAAGGATTATTATAAAGAGGGTTTCTTCATATAAGTTAATATTTTGTGAAACGAGGATAATCTCGTGCTCGTTTTCAATCGAACAAGTTAATAATAAGTATATGTATGTGTGTATGTATGTTTACATACACACATACACGCATACATACATATATATATTAATATTTTGTTTGATAAGGAAAACTGTTTCCAAATGATATATTATTGTTAAATAATCACATACTACTTATCCTATCGTAGGTGTATACATATATACCTATATATTATAAGTAATCTCAAGATTATCGTTATTCTTTTTATGTAAGAATTTATTGATTAAATTGGATTCAATCTATTCGTAATGAATTTTCAATAATAATACCTCGATTTCCAAATTAAGTATTAAATTAACTACTTTAACTAATTAAAAGTATGTATACAATAAACTTCTCTTAAAATAAACACGCAAAGAAGAAGGTTCTATTATCTACCGACACATTTTGTTTGCAACGACGTTGGACAATATAACGAGGTAGTGAATTCCTAAATAAAAGGCATAATTTTGAGTCAACCTTTCTATATATATTGAACTGCTTAATTATGTTGTTGACAAAATATAATTTCCAAAACTCCATCGGTTTTATTTTTAAATATATCATGTATATTTTATATTTTTAAGTTGTATATAAATAAACAGGTCGATTTCTATACAATATGTTTTTTTTCTTAACCACCACCGACCCGTGCAAGATAATCACGATAAATAAGTACGATATCTCACCGCATTTAGTCTATTCGAATTTCTAATTACTTTCATTGAAGTCAATTAGACTTTGCATGACAAACGGGAAAGTGATATAAATGCCATTATTATTATTAAACCCCTCAATTAGGGAGTCTCTTAAGATATGACGCGCGATATTAGAAAGTTTTGATGCACGTTTTAGATACATTTACAATACGACTTTTAATGTTAAATGTTTGCATTAAGCGATAAAAGTAAGCAAGAAAGAGTTAGCGATTTGGAAGATCACATAATTGCGTAGCGGCGTCATGAATCCCGTTGGGAATAAAGTAAATATCACACGTAACAGGAATATCATATAAAAGTGATCGATGAAAAATCCAAGACCACAGAAGTAACATCGTACGTCTTGCGAAAAGAGACGTAATTGAATATAATATTATATATATATTTCTTTTGTTCGAAGATAGCATACATATAAGGACGTGATGAATAAAATATAAATAAAATTTGTGGCATATAATAATAATAAATAATAATAAATTTATTCTCCCAGTATCAGGTATACGTAAAAAACGTATAAAAGTCTCTAGGATAGTTTCTAACAAGGAAATTTCTAGGGAAATTCCAGACGTGACGTTTCACGGTATTCTTATGACGAGTAATAGCGCTGAATGCAGGCTAGGGCGGAGTTTCGCGGAATACTTTGTCCAGCGATGCGTTTCGCTAGTTACTGTATATAAATGCTTTATAGCTGCACGAGGCACAGAAGGTGTCCTTCGATTTACCGGAGTACTTCAAGAATAACTTCGCATAGGCGAACTGAGTTTTTTATAATGAGCCGCAAACTGTTGGTAAGAAATTTTTCACTAGAACATCATATTTAACTTTTTAGTAAATTTAACATTTTTTAAAAAATGTCATTTGACTTAATTTAATTTTAATTTATATTTATAAATTATGAAAATATATGAATCATACATTTAGATTGAATAAATATAAATATATTAGAGTGAAAAATATACATATATAAATTATATAAAAATCGTATTTATAGATTTATAAATTTGGTCGAGTTTAAATCGCTTGTGTAAACATTTCTGTATATTAAACCGCGTGGTAGTTAATAACACGTGACAATAACGTATTAATTCTTTTTCTGTTGCAGTACAGCATCTTCTTGTTAATAGCCCTTGCATTAATTCATGAATCCACTGAATCGTAGGTATTCGAATTTGGCGTTATAAATTAAATGTGATAAACATACATGGTGTTATAAATTAAGTTCAATAAATATATGTAAACAAGACATTCTTAAGAATAATATCTGTATTCTGAACCTTGTTTAGGAAAAAGATGGTAGTAATACATGTACCCTACAAAGTGAAAAATGTGAAGCATACACACACAATCTACAAGTTAATTCCACACCACGATGAGACAAAACACAAGGACGAGTATTATGACGTTTATCGAAAATAATTCGATTGTCTTCTTATGATGATGTAGAAATAATTCATGTACGAGCAGTAAACTCAAAGAACAGTCATTAGGTTGTCTTTAAGTATACTTTCTTAAACACTTAGCTATTTCTTCTCACTTTATGTTACGTAACATTGTATGTGATATTATTATGTTTATCTGTAAATAAATAAAAAAAACAGGAGAATACAAAACTATTTTTCAATATCTTCCCAATAAATCCTATATCGAAACTAATTGGCATAGCGTGCCTTCGTTTACTTAATAAATATAAATAAGTAATTGTTTTTACAAAATATGTAAACAATATTATAATATATTATTGCGTCATATTTTCTAAAAATTATCCAAAATAAATTTCGATTTGTTAAATGGAATTGTTTGGTTTTTTACTATAACTAGATAAACGCATGTTATTTAGCTAAATATGGAAAAAAATTTCAGTTTATGTAACTAAACAGACGTGAAAATTAAAATTTGTTAACCGAAAAATATTTCTGTTACTGTCAAAACGCGAAATCTACGTATAATAACAGTCACAGATTCGAAGAAAGCAACGACTCACGTCGAAATCGAGATTTCGAGACAATCAATCAGCATCGCAGAAAAGAAGCTGCAATACTTCGAACACTCAAGTTTGAGATTTCACACCTTCATTAGAGAGGGAATCGATTTTCCTCCAATTATTTTGCGTATAAACATACTGAGGTAATTATTGAAAAATGAATACATTTCGAGATATTTTACTTCGATTTTTATTTATTTCGAGATAATTTCACATTAATACTTTTGTATATAGAATTACGGGAGAAATTTCTCTCTCGATTAATAATACTACTCATTGCATATTAGTGCATCAAACCGTGCATCAAACCGCAAAATGCAATGAATTCTCTTTTAAGGTCTCTCTATATTTCTCCACAATAATCGATTCTATCCGTCGATCTACATATAAAAGTATTAAGATGAAGTTCGAATCGAAAAGTGAATAATTTACAAGATATTTCTACAAGTTAATGTCGACTCTTCTCCGGCTACTCGTTTAAAAAATAGCGGAAGAATAATATTTCTTCATGGTGATGTAAATTGCTAAACGAAACAGGCAATTTCACTGTGACACTGAACCTGACCGTGCTGGATGCCTTCACGGTTTGTCGAGCCTGTAAATTATAAAACCACATCCGTTATAGATCATCAAGTAAAGCATACAACCGAAGCATAAAATCAAAAAACAGTGAAAGCGATCATTGGCCATGAACTGCATCGCAGTATCGGACGTTGCAGGATTCGCTTTGATCGAAAAAAGTTGATATATAAATAGCAATTCGTCGTCAGTGATGTCAAACGTCGGCTGACCGTTGATAGCGCCTACGGTCGCCACTATAACGCCACTTTAAAGGATAGATATCATGGTAATGATACGCGAAAAAAGCCTTACAAGCGAATAAAAGTGTGTGATTCGTTTATTACGGCGCGTTCTCGGCCTCTGAGAGTGAAAGCTAAAATTTACACATATATATATATATATATATATATATATATATTGACAAGCTCGATATATTTCGCGATTTCTTGCTTGCATTTCATCAAATGTATATAAATGCCTTATATTACACACACACACACACACATATACACATAATATATATACAAAGAATATAAGGCTAGCCATGTATTTGTAAAGCATCGATATATATTTGATTAAGTGCGAGAATTCGCGAAATGTATCGAGTTTACCGCGCAGCTATTCTCATGAATGTTGTAATTAGCAGTTTTAATATTATCGTTAGGTGTTATGCGTGCGGGAGAATCTTCGTGAATGTTTCAGATAGGAGAGATATCGAAGCATACCGTGGAATTATGTTCAACGAGCATACATATTGTTGGTTAATTCAAAAGATGAGAATGTGTTATGGATGATCTAAGTGTAACGACCGCGGATCTGTGTTTCAGAGGATCGTTATCGGCCTGCTTTTCATTCTGTCGTGCATATTACTGAACAGCGGAAGCGCGAACAAGGATCAGTGAGTGTGCGCTACACTATGTTATTAAATCCATTCACTTGGCGAATCGCACGTCTTCGTTAAAGCAGCGCAAAGTTTTACGCTTTCTCGTGGCGAAAATCGCATTCCACGCTCACTCTTGTTCTCGCGATCGTCGAATTAACATCACAACCTGTTGAATTAACGAATGCACCTGCTTATCTCACCAATACTTATCTCTTCACATTGAATCGTTCTACAAGAATAATTAATCCGGTATTTTTACATTAATAGTAGTTCGTTCTGGGTTAATCAGATCAGATGTCAGTGACACGAGAAATCAATCGATTCTCTTTCTATTTGGCAGCGTGCACTTCAAGATTCACGTGCCGGAAATCTTCAAACATCAAATTCACACCAAGACGGTGTTTATACACGTTCATAAGCCGACTGTTGCAAAAAAGACCAAACCTAAAACGGAAGCGGCGAAAACTTATAAGGAATCGCATCACGAAGATTGGAGCTCTTGGAACACTTATGATTATCACAACGACCATGATGATCAAACGGACGATCACCGTGTCATGCCCGAAAACCCAAAAGATCTAGCGAACAATGAGATTCATAACGATAAGCATCACAAGAAAACAAATCTTCATCACCATAGACATTCTTATCTACCGGCTATGCAACACGAAGATAAGCCCAATTATTTGAAAACTCAACACGGTGACATGATGAATTATTCTTATCCACAGTATGCGGTGAAAGAGGATGTGAAAGAAATGGATCGCAACAAAATTGGGCCTTACATGCATATGTACAAGGAAGGTTATCATAGAGGTAGTGAGTCCGCGGATGGACGCATCTACTCGAACGATTTGACCAAATTTTACGAGAACAAGCACGAAGAGGGCGATCATTCTGCCGAGGAGTACGAGTCGAGAGAGAAGACGCACACCGGTCGTTATTTCGTGGATGATCCGGCGCAATGACAATAAGTATGAGACGCGTGCGTCTCCCAGGAAGTCGTCGCGAAGAAATGCAAAGACAAGTCGCCAATAATGAATATTTGTTCTTATTTCCTTAGCATGGATAATTCTGATGTAAGATGGTTGCGTATGTTGCGAGAAAAAATAAGATAACCTTTTTTAATGAGTTCGGATCTCAGACAATAGGTATATAGTAAGCTCTTAAGTCGTGAGAAATTAATCGAATATCCTTCTCGATTGTGATTAGTCAATTTATTATGGCTTAAAGCTTATTGCAGCAGATCCGAATTTAAAATAGTGCTCAAGTCGATAACGAATTTGATAAATATCGGTAACGTAAAGGCAAAATGTTTCCAGCAAGAACTGAACAAATGAGTGTAAAAAAATTGTTTATTAAGTCATTCGTGAAATATAACTGATAATTTTCTACATTTCCAAAGGAATGGGGGAACAAAGAAGGAAATATTTTATAAAGCAATTTTATCCTTTTCGCTTGGCTGATGTGATCAAAATTGCTAATGATTTTTCGGCATGGATAAGGAAACTACGCGAGATGCGCAACGCAGATATGAACTAAACTTGAACTCCTTTTGGAGAAGGACTTTCTAAATACAAACGTAACCTAAAATATTAAGGGAGTCCCGAAGAGCGGCCGACGAACTTCGAAACGAATCTCTTGATGTCGATAACATATGTAACACTACGTTATCGACTTAAGGCAAACGGTATATTATTATACATCTGCCATAAGTTGGTAATGTAAATTTATAATATAGTATTATATATATATATATAATATTTAATATTTTCTTATTATTTCTTATATAATAATATATAATATTTTCTTTCTAATATATATATATATATATATATTAGAAAGAAAATATTTTATAAAAATATTATAAAAACTTGATCAAGAATATTTTTAAAATGTAGAGAGTACAGCCGGGTATATTTGTGGTTCACTGATTAGAGACGCGCTTCTTAAAAACGTAATATAATTTATTCCTTGTTTATATTGTAAAAAACATGGATATAAAAATCAACACAAGGTACAAGAATAAAACAACAAGTAACAATATTTACATACGTACTGTGCTCGAAAGACGTGTCAAAGATTTAACAAGAAAGTCAGACTAGAGATAAAGGCAGAAGAGGCATTCAATTTTAAAGAGAGATAAATAGAGAAAAAGGTCGACCATTATTTCACGAGATATAGCGGTTATAATTTTTCTATGCATATCAGTGCAATCTATTATCGATTCTTCTATAGTGGAATAAAATCGTGCGTCACATAAATGTGAAATCGAATCATCTATTGCACCGATACCAAAGTGTGATGCATAGAGAATGTTCAACTCTTTGAAGCATACATTAATGAGTGTTAAATATTCATTTTGAATTTCTATGTTTTAGATAGAAAGTTGGATAGTAAGTGCATCAAATATTATCGCGCCCTTCCACACTGAAAAAAGAATTTTGTAGTAAGTACTAAAATTTCGTTTAAATATACCGAGCAAATATTTTATTACCGTCATCAAATAATTTAACTCTATATACTGTATGTACTGTATTGCAATTCCGTATATTGCATATTTAATAGTACATACGGAATTAAATTATTGGTTGCAGTAATCAAATATTTGGTCGGCAAATATTCATCAAATTTTAATACTTATTACCTTTTTCAGTGTACGTTACACGTCTCTTCCGATATATATATGAAATGTTTAATAAGTTTCGCATATCTTTGCATACCTAAAATTTTGCACGCACAACTCCACGTTTAAGTTTCTTCTTAACAATTTCATAATTTTCATGAAAAAATTATGAAATTTTGTTCGTTAAGCTTCAAAATATGAACTATCGAGTTTCTCGAGAACGGCAAGTCGACTAGGTATAACGCAAGAATTTTCTTTCTAATGACTCGACCATTCTTCGTGACCACCGCCTCCGAATCCACCTCCACCTCCGAAATCGTAACCACCGCCGCCACCGCCGCCACCGCCGCCGAAATCTAGATGGCCACCTCCGAAATCGTGCCCCCCACCGCCGCCGTCGCCGCCACCGAAGTCGTGTCCCCCGCCGCCTCCGCCACCGCCGAAGTCGTGACCTCCGAAACCACCTCCTCCTCCTCCTCCATGACCTCCACCATGAAGATCAATTGGATGACCCACGGTGTATCCGAGTACCTCGTACTTGTCGCCACCGCCATGATGTATATGCTTCGTGATTGTGTGCGTGTGGTGGATGGTCTTTACTTTGTATGGCACGTGGATCACCACGTGTTTGCTGAAATGGTCGCGCAGGAAATCAGCGGAAATCAGTTTTATTGCCATAGTACGGTGTCACACTGTGTTATTTATTTCGTTTGACACACTTGGCGCAATCTTGGGACTATGAATAGTGAGCTTAATTCAAACTTACTGTCCTCCGTGCCCTCCACCAGCGCTGGCCAAGTTAAATAGTGGGACGACTAGGAGAAGATTCAACTGGAAATATATAACGAAGAGATTTTGTTAATGAAATTACGTATGAAAAATTAACGTTTATTCTACGTCAATCGCGCGTATTAAAGCGAGTAAAAAGAATTGTTTATCTAACAGTCAATGAAGAATAAAAGTTGTGTTAGTAACTTGTGAGATATAAAAGCACCGAATAATATCCTTCACTCACAACTTGATCCATCAATAGAATCTCGAAATTGTGAACGAATATTTCACGATTTATATATAAACTTACGAATAACTATTTTATTATTCTCCATAAATAGCTACCGAAGTAAATCTACACACGCGATTATCTTTTCGATTAACTACACAAATCCGTGTCGTACACTAACAGAAAAAGTATCTAAAAAATAAAAAAATATTTATTCAGTTAGTTTATTAATAACATATTCATTTAAGTCTGAATCTTTTTATCTAATCGGAATAAACAATTTTGCTTCCGTGAAAAGAAAAAAAATATATTTTTTCATTTGAGAAAAATTGTTTTCAGTGTAAAAACAGGTGTATTAGTATAAATAAATATATATTAGTGAAATAAATATTTTTTCTCAATATAACCAATCCTTTCGTTTATTCGAGTTCATAAGTATATTGAAAAACTTACCAAAAGGCCTGGCATCGTATCGCATCGTCTTCTCATCTCTCCGTTCCCCAGATAGGATTAACCTGGAAGATGCCGCTTCCGCCACAGCAGAACAACAAGGTATAACGAAGATGCGGGCGGAAGACGGGAGTCCACTCTGCGCGCAACTATCGAGTTCTGGTGGCGATTTTCATCTGACGACTACCGCGAATACGTTTGCCGCTTTTATACACTCGTACGTGATAGAAGCCGGATAAGAATGAAAGGGAGTCTTTTGCCACCTGTACGCCACGTTCGTGAAAGGAGTCGCCTAATAGCTTCTCGCGGCAGAAAGTCACTGATCGACATAGAAAAAGCGAGGGGAGAGGTAAGGAAGGCGCCTTCCTCCCTCTGCTTTTGTGCACTTCCTCTTTTTGATTAGATCCACATCCCTCCTTCCAATGAAAGGCAGACGCCGGGTGAACGGCCAAGATCGAGATCTGTATCATAACTCGAGTCTCAAGTCCGGGCCGAGCAATTTGATCGCTCGTTTCACTAGTCTTTCGCGTGTTCGTGCGAAAAGATCGTTCCTTCTGGCTATGGTGATTGCATTTTCCTTAGTACTTCCTCAGTGTGTTTTTTAGGGAAGAGAGAAAAGGATGATGTTTTTGACTCAATGAAGTCATCGATGCTTTTTTTGACCTCCTCGGCAGATTGAAAGTGATGCTGAAGCAGCCGGGACAGGTGATAATACGTAGGGGCAAAGTCTGGATGCGATGTTTTTGCGGCCGCACGTTGTCGTGCAATAAAATCACCTGTCTGGTTCTACTGCTGGTAAATCATTTTTTTCGTTCGATTTAAATGAATGAGTTGCTAACGTCCAGAGGTAACGATTTCACCGGGTTTGATGTCTCAGATGCTCCTTTTCGGACGACGTCGTGATAACTACTGTTTCCTGAGATTATGCAGTCAACTATTATAATGCTTCTTAAAGCTTAAGATTTTCAAATTATCCTAGGGAGGGAGAAAAAGTTTTAATTTGGACCAGAATTATAAGACGTCAAATGTAAAGCCACCGAACTTATTTACACACCTAATATATTGAATTTCGTATTTTATATTCGGCAACGTTTTAATTCTGTGAAAATGATATCAAATATCATTTGCGAAGTGAAGACGTTTGATCGTTTTGTTTCTTAATACGATTATTACCAGGTATATTATTACTGCATATTTATTGCCAAAAAGTCCGATGGCTGCTATACTACTATCGTTATGCTGTAGTTTTTGATAAAGCTCGATTATTACATGAAATAATTTACATTGTCGAGAGGCGGCGATAATTCTTTTACGAAGGCGAGGCGCTTTCAAAAGATTTGCATAATATGAGCGGATATGATTTTCTATCGAAATGCGAAACAGCTAATTAATGCAGATGCAATATCAGATTTACTTGATATGGAATATATGAGAAAGTAACGTATTTTTTCAATGCACGCTTAATGAAAAATGCATTTGCGGATTCTCGATCCAACACGAAATGTATATTTCATTTATCGATGAAGCACGGAATCCTTGTATTTTTAAATCGGATTTCAATTAATTTCTTACACTTCATAGAGGATCGACGCTTCATAGAGGATCGACGTTAAATTTTTAATTTTATAACGAAATAAGAGCTAAAACAGCAAAGGATGTTTAATTTCAATTTTAATAACATGATTTATTTCCTACGTTAATCCTATGATGTCCTAAATTTCTATATTTGCTGTTTTAGCAAAAATAAGTCATCCTTCAAAGTAACATTAAAATTAAATCTATAAAATGAAAGGTTCAAGAGAGACGTTGATAAATGTCAGTATCGTTAAAGTAGATTTTTATTAGTCATTTACAGGCCGCGCAAATTATTTTTCAGAGCGTCAAAGTAACATCCAAATTTCGACTTGAAGAAGAACAACGTATCGAAAACAGTCGCCGATAGATCGCGGAAGCGAAAAGTCTCATTTCCCCTTCCTGATATTGAAGCGAATAATGAAGCACAGAAATTCCACGGCGACGGCCGCAACAGCCGTTCACTCGTCGTCGTTCTCAACGCTCGCACTTGAACGCAAAACGCGCCCAGAGAAAGGGAAACCGATCTCGGTCTGTCTCGTAAAACGCATAAGAGTAAATTACAGAGAGGGAGACCCGGCGCTCGAGCGAAAACAAAAACGAGTAACACGCGATATAGCTTATCCTTTTCCTCGCGAGACCGTGACAGTGAACTCTCTATTGATGGAATCTAATCTACCTAGGGTCGGAGTGAATGTATAGAGTGTTACGTTTCAGTCCGTGCAAACGTCGCACCTTGGGAAAATACGTCGACCAGAGACGTATATATCGAGCAGCATCGTTCGAAGACGATTTCACCCATCGTCGTTTTCGTCAGTTCACTTTTTTAGGCACAAATTTAAAAGTCGAATAAAATGATTTAATTTTTTAACGTCTAACACACAACGGGATTTCTCTCTTTTATCCGTCGGGGATTTTCGTGATGAATGATTATTCACAATAACGTTCGTTATATCATATCGTCATCGATATTTTTTTTTAATTTAACATGTTTAAATTATATGTATTTAAATTAAACGTAGCTAAATGTGTGTGTCACGACACACGCGTATCTCAATATCTCCGAAGCGGATGAAATTTAATCACAATTGGAGAAAAATCATAACGTCTAAGAGAAAAAGAGAAAAATAAATCGACGCGTTAGAAATAATCAGACATGAAATTAACGTTAAGTATTTTAGGTGTTGGAAAAGCAGAAATACATAATAAATGAAAAGGAATCATAATAAATAAATAATAAAAATTAACCGTAGATACGTGTTCAACAATTTTATATCTTGTGAAGTAAGTAAATTCGTATATTTCTATGTACCAGATCGTCTGTTTCCGTATCAAATTTTTTATAAATAACAATTTTTTATAACAACTCAAGTTTATTAAGACAATAACACATAATGTGCATTTAACGGAGCGTGATGCGAGATGATTAGAAGGGCATAACATTAAACTCCAAATCTGAAGCTCCATAATTCTGGACCGTGTACTATCTTTTCGCAAATCAAGTTTTACACTCGGCTCCATATTACACCCATTTACAGCCTGTTCGTTATCATAATTTTCTGCTTTCGAGCATTAGCGTTGAAACGGAAGCAGAAAGACTTGCGATTTTCTTGTTCCTTTGTTTCCTGCATATTAGATTTTATCGTGAAACTTACGTCGTCGTTCACGCAAACTAAAGAGGAATCTTTAGATATTACACGTACCCTAAGCTCCGTAGGAGATATTTAAATTATGGGCAGCAGTTAATGTTTGAGAAACTGTAACATTTTCCAAGAATGAAAAATGTGAGTCCATAGATAACTACTAAATCGTCGAAAGCGTGACTAAGAGCGTGGCTAAAAAACTGCAGGCCGTATATGGTTATTAATCTTCAGGCATGTGTCCTGACTCGTTAAGCGCACTGCCTCGGTGGAACTATTTTGTTCGAGGATTCATTCATAGAAAGTTGCCTTTAATTGTCAGTATCTTTTGTCTCGACACTGCAAAGATTTTTTTATCATTTACAATATCAAATGTATGCCCTTGTATTTTATTACATATTGCCCGATGTAGTTATGAGATGTGTGCAAAAGTCTCTTTTTCGCAAATTTTCGTTTTACTTTATACATTTAAAAGAATAAAATTTTCGCACACACTTAATATTTAAAAAATAAAATGATTTCGGAAGAGCGAAAAGAAAGGTATGTAAATAATCCTTCATGCTCTATGTTTCTTTCTCCTCTTTTTTTCTTCTCCTTGCTACTTCGTTCTCACTATAAAAATTATTCAAATGAAATATAATTTAAATAATTTCGAATATTATGTGCATATTTTTAAATGTAATATGATATTTTTCCTTTTTGGAAGAGAAAAATTCTGAATTCCGAAAAATGAATTCCCTTCATCTGTTTTTAGGGCTAGAAGTAGAGATAGTTTGCGGCCGAGGAATGAGATACTATCTAATCGCCGTTGAAAAAGGCATGAGGTTAGAAACTCGACCTTGAATTTGGTGCAAGAAAGTGCATCGCGTGAATGAGCTAATTGACGCGCGAGTACGCTATAACGACGGCATCGTCGGCGAACACGCCGTGAAAGGACTCGTGGATATGTGGACCGTAACGATAGCAATATGAAATCATGATTATTCCTGTCAGTAAAATTTTTATTTTTAATCACGTTAATATACATATATTGAAAATAAAATTATATAAATATGTATATATTAAAAATAAAATATATCGAGAGAGAGAGAGAGAGAGAGAAAAGTAAGTTAATGTGTCAGGCATTTATGATCAATGTCATGTATCTTTGACAAGTATATCCTCAACGGTACGTATGACAACCGTCTTGACTTTGTAATACTTTTTTATGACTTGTTCATTTACATGGATCATGTGATGAAGTTTGCTCTGCAATAGAAATATCACTCTGTATATTGCATAGAAAAAAATAAATTTATATAAAAAAATAATTCCTGCAGGAAGTAAATATTTGCGAAAAATTGTACAAATACATGTACACTTCTTTTGTAAAAAAACAGAACCGTTCGACCATTTCCTCTCGATCAAATGCAAAATCAACCGGATCGATCGTCGAAATTGCAGCATGGCAAATGTAGAACACTCTTTCTACGGAATCGTATTTCCCGCGTTGTTAAGTTTTCTTGTTATTCACATTTTGGAAAGCAATGGGTGTGGCTTGCAGCAAATACATTAACACGTCTTTACTCGTCGTGCCGGGAATGATAAATAAAAAAATTCGATTTCGTTTATTAAAAATTTCTAAGCGCGATTTTACATATTTTTCTCTTCTTTCCTCATTTCTCTCGTTTTGTCATTTTCCGTTTCTATCCAGTTTTACACAAGGTGATTCTTTTTGAGACTTTTTAGTTTCTTCTCCTTCTTCAACGCGTATGAAAAGTTCGTAAGGTTACAAATAGATGGCTGTAGCAGTGTACGAAGAAAGGAAGACGGCTTCCTCATGAACTCTCTGTAAATACGATTCGGCTTATTGTCTGTCTCTCATTGCTTGTCAGATACGAGAAAAGACTTTTTTATGGCGTCATAGTTACGAGTGATGAAAAGTAGATCTTTCTCGACAATCCTAAACACGAAAAGTCATATAGGTTGGCCAACCATTGACATCTATAACGAGACGCAACATCCACGGCCATAAGGTTCTTCCGTGTACCTAGTATGACTAAGAAGACGTATACCTTATTATGAACTATTACCACCGGGGCAAATCGCTACAGTCAACAATTGTGATGCTGAAGCCAAACCACAAAGGAGAAACGCCTTCAAATAGCCGCGAATCGATGCAAAATCATCCTGCCTGATGACAACGTCAGGTCGCATATTGCTATTGGCTAACTAAAGAGACGGCCAATACTTTAGTTAAAATGTCATTTCATTGTTAATCGTCATTATTAATAAATAAAAATGACTTTAATATTATGCGAACAATGGTGACCTTTTTTTCAATTTATTTTACATCGATGGATAGCATTAATGGCTAAACAATGGTAAGTTCCCAATCAGGATGGTAGCAACAAATAGCATCGAATAGTTGACTTCCAATCGATGAGATATCAAGGAGTTTTCGATCCAACGTTTTTGTAGTCGTTTTACTCAGTCCCAATGAAACGATATGCAACCATCAGGCTGGATGTTAAGGCAAGGAAGAGATCCTCCGCAGAGACAACGCCTACCGAGATGCACCGAGTTGAACTTGCGTTCGTTGAAGAAAGCGTCGATTTCTCCCTAAACAAAAATTCAACTCAGCTTAGCCGCGCTCAGCGTAAAAGACCGCGGGCTCTCGACGGTGCCGGCCGCCCGTTCTCCATTTCCATCCGCACGACGAACGGCACCGGGCGAACTCGTACAATTTCTACCGGTGGGAGGCGGGATCGTGGCGGTCTATGCTCTTTTTATCTTGTATAAAAGAGAAGAGGCGTAGCGCGGGTAGCCGCAATACATCTTGGAACGTCTGCGGTACACGCTGGTCACGCCTGGAACACGTCGGAACGGACTCCTTTCTCGATCGCGCGGTGATCAAGCTTGACAAGTGGCGCGAAAAGGGCCGGTAGCATGCGGTGCTCGGTGAGTTTGAACTTTGCTGTTTGATAGGCATCGGTCGATACATCGATTAGCTTCTTTCCTCGCAAACTTTATTTTCTTTATGTCCGCTTCTTCCTCTTTTTTTATTCGCAACTTTTGCTTCTGACTTTGAGTTAAATGCGCGCTAATATATTCTTTGCTTTAGAATCTGAATCAAATATACGCTATAATGGTCGAATAAGTAACTTATGAAGGGACGAGATAGAAGACAGAAAAATTAAAGAATAAATTATAATAGATAGAAGCGTTTGTTACCGTTCTAATAGCCCTATTCTGTAATTTCTCAACAACAGTATCACTAACATAGGTTGTCGTTGCGCAACTTTTCTCCTATATATTATACCTGTGCAATAATGGCATAACGATAATGAAACATCGTTAAAAGTTAAAAAATAGGCCTACGGAATAATCCTTTTAAGAGCAGCCTTTTAGGAGACATGACACAAATATTTTATAAATATCATAGTTAATTTAAGATGCTGACACGTTAACTGGAAATAACTATAATTAATTCCAAATAACTATAATTAATAGATAATAAAAAGACAATATATTTTGACTATATGAACTGTTTAAAAGGAAAGTTAGAGAAAGGATAATTTGTTCTGATATATATATATATATATAATTAAGAAAGAAATGAACATTAATTCCGAGTCACCGTGCGTGTGAGATCTTGCTTCGAGGAGTGAGAAGCATTTCTCAAGCTTCCGGTCAGAACCGACAGGTACGACTTGGAATTATCTCGAGTAGTGTAACATTAACTTTCATCTCGTGTGAAAGTCATAATTGTATTTATCAATGAAACTATAGAGAAAGGGGCGAGGCTGATAACGACACGAATCACGGTCCTCGCGGGACTTTGATAATCATATCGACTTACCATAAATTAAACATCAATGACAACTGTAGCGGAATCGCGTGTTCCGATGTACATTAACGTGCAATCAGTGCGATCGGCGTTATGTATGCCTTTATCTTATTCTTCCCTAAACAGCAAGTAAACGATTTCCGATTATCTTATGCTTGTTTCTACCAGCGACGATTAAACTTTAATCTGAAACTTTAAACTTTCTTCAGACAAAGATTTCAACTCAAATTAAGGTAGTAGCATTAATGTGATTTCATTCAACTCAGATTAAACTAATCGATATGTATAACAATAATTTTTATTTCTGTATCTTGTCGCGTTTAACAATAATAAAAAATTAGTAATTTCTATAATTTATATTCTACATTAGCAAAATAGAGTAATATTTTGAATGAAAGAACAATTTTGAATTGTCAATTAGATTAATTATGATTTGAAGTTATTCTTATAATACATAAAGTTGAAATCGCATAAGTAATTCTAGCTATAATGGTAAGTTTCGCTCTATACATATATGTTGTGTGTGTGTAAAGCTAAAAATCGTGTAATTCTCGATGTAGAAAATGATATGGCATACCGATTATATACTGGTTTTCAAAACGATCTGAACACCTTTTTTCGATGTAATTTTTAACTTTACGCGAAAGTCTTTTATCAATTCTATAATAAACGATAGCTTATTTATTCCGCGACGCTTGTTACCGTTCAAACGGGCGCTAATCGGCAATTAATGTTCACAGGCCCTCTGCGTTCTGCTGCTAACGATCAGCGAGCCTCTTCTCGTTCATGCGTAAGTACCCAAGCCGCAACTAATTAAAACTAAGTGTTTATGTTGGTTGGTTTCACACAGCAGAACGGCCGAAAGTTGGTTGCTATTTCAATAAATTCCTCTCATTTTCGTAGCCTTCGCTTTGTTCATAAAGAATTGTAAACATGGATCTCCCGTCCTATAAAAATATTTTATTTATTTTCTCTTCGATGATCGAAGAGTTTACTTTTAAACAGTTAAACTTACATTTCAATACTAAAAATAGAACAAACAAGATTATGTCTTATCAGGTGTTATTGTGGCTTAAATTCCAGAGAATTTTCAAGCTTTCCACACGCTTGTAACGTAGACGTTTCTTTCTCTAAACAGGCATAATCTCCGAAGTGGAACATGAATACCGCGGAATCTGGTTTAAACGGTTTTTGTAGAAGCACAAAAAGGTGTGAAAGTACAATTTTTCTTCGCGATATTATTTCATAATAATACTATTGGTCACGGTCACGGATATCAGCTGTAGCGATACTTCTCGAACTATCCCAAACGGAAAAATGTCTGTTTTCTTGCGTTCAATTCCTTCGGTAGAAAGTAAAAAAAAACCGCATTTCACTCTAAGTATCTCTTACTGCTCATATAAAAACCTTGTTTACAGAGTTAACGCGTCGATGGCGATTTCTTTGCGATGAATTCATTTCGTTTTGAGGATCGTGTGACTGTGCTCCACGTGTTTTACATAATTATACCGTGTTCTATATAATAATACCGTAAATAAGGGCTCACCAATAACGTTTCAGTCGCGTTTGGATAAACGCGTCAGAGAGAGAGACAGAGAGAGAGAGAGAGAGAGCGAGAAACGCAGAGAAATGGGCTGATAAGTAAAGCGAGGTGCATTTGGAGATCTAAGTATTCTTCTTTCGACTTTTAGGAAGGTAGTGTTGGTCGTACCCCGACATGTAAGACGCAGCCCAGGGATGCCATGGAGGCCCCCTTCGGCGCATTATAAAAAATCGTCTTTTGGCGGTAACGATTTTCATCGTCAAGCGTACTACAGTTATGGCAATCGTCACTATAATAGAAAGCCATATCGACCGTTGCCGCACGGGGGTGACGATTTCGACCAAGGCCACGAGGCCGTGAATCACGTGCAGATACCGTACGGCAAAGACGTTAGCCGCGGCGTCTCGTTTGGTAAAGGCTACATTCCGTACGAGAATATCAAGAGCAGCAGCCTGCCATTCGTGCACGAGAGGTACGTCTTGCTCGATTGTAAGCGCCTTTTTAAATTGCCCTCGTAGTTACAGTGTTTTTTTCCCCAAATTATTATTAAAGAAATAACGAGTCGTTAGAATCTTCTTCATTTTTTCATCGGGTTTTGCAAGAACTTATTTAGGGAGATTCGCTTATGCAACTCATATATACAGAGTGAGTGATTTAATATGTAATTTGAAAATGAGTCAAAAAATATATATACCTAAAATGTTTCAAACGAAAGTTGTTTAGTTTTGAAGGGGGAAATAACATTGTGATCTACCCTTAAATTGCGTTTCTCACTTTAAGCTCATTTCTTTTTTTTAATAATTTTTGTCAAACAAAGGTTTGAAACTTTTTATCACTTGATGCATATTTCTTTGAATTATTTTTGTTCCTTCTCAACCTTAGCCGTAATACAGCAAATATCTTCAATTAACGCTGTTTAGATGGATATCCATCTCATTCGCGCATAGATTCTGGATGTAACTCGAAATTGACCATGGCGCTTCTAAATTTGCACCCCAAAGTTTCCAAGTGCAAGCAATTTTTTCCAGCACGAAACGCTTTTTTCTTTCCGAGCAGATACGCCGGTGCTTACCCGCGTCAACCCGCCGTTCCGGATTACCCACCGTCCAGTTTCACATCGGTAGGTCAGGAATACGCGGCGTCGGCGAGCGCGAACTACGACAGCCCGCACGTTGACTCGTTCTTCTCCGACATGGAAAGCGCCACTAGAAGCGAATTGCACGACGCTTTGAAAGACACCACGAACAAATATTACGCCTCTCGTTCGATCGAGAAGGCCCTCAGCAATGTCGCGGATCCCCTGGCGAAGGGTAACGAACTAGCCAGAGACACCTCACCGGCCGCGTATGGTCACGCCGCGACTAATGTCGCCGTCGGTATGCAAGGTGCCGTGGTATTGCCGGCTGGTATACCGCCAGCTACTATCGCAGGTAACAAGGACGGTATCGTACTGAGAGATTCCGTGTCTCTGGACGAGTATCACAAGAAACTGGAGGAACTCACCAAGAGCTGGCCGAGCGTGTTATCCAGCAATTATCCCGGGACTCATCAGCCGTTGAACGCTGTCGATCATTTCCCATCGCCGGCCGGTTTGCCAGTTGGCTGGCTGTCCGGCTTCGCTCAACCCAAGCAGGGCTATGCGGTGCGGGAAGACCACGCGGAACCACCCGTGAGCCATGACTTTCGAACAATGCCCGTTCACACCGCGCCGTATCATTCGCCGAACGTGGGTGTACCGGTCGTACCGCATCACGGATAGCTATGCGTACACCGCTCTGGATGATAGAGAAGCGACGTCTTGTTTCTCCGCGTATGACAGTAGTGGTCTGTTCTTTTCACCTGCACCGCTAAGCTAATTGTTTCAGCAGAAAAGAACAGACCATAGGAGACGTCAAAGCAGATTAGGTTCCTTACACTCGGAAGCTGACTTGTGGATTAGAAAATAGAAAGCGACCATATATTGGAATTGGCAGAAAAAATTCATTGATAGGCTGTAACGATCCACAGGTGGAAACAATATGGCGACGTGATCTAGCTGGCCAATCAGACGGTTTCCTTCAATCTCGCTTCTCTATTATCTGGGACTTCAGATACGTGCCCGAAATCCTTCGAATGGAATTCGACGTAATTAATTGGCATAGCTGAAATAAAGCACAATAAATCTGTGCACCACATATTCGATAATATACATATGAATGCTGTCCATAGAGAAATGAAAACGTCCAGCGCACCTGAGGCGTCGAAATGCAGAGTACGGCAAAATTACGAGTCGAATTTCACGGCAGGATTTCAATCGACGGTACACACAGCCGCGTACTTATAATACATTGTGTGTGATCTTACTTGGGTGCTTTTAATTTAAATCTCGTCTACGATCTCTTCGTTTTCTTCATTCCGACGTGCTCGTTATCTTGCGGTAACCCTCTCTCGAGAAAATCTTATCTATCAATTGACGACAATGACGAAGTCGAGTTTTTACGACGAATCATTTGACAGGAGAAAGTTACAAGTAAGGATAATTTTCTAATATCTCAACAAATTTTATACTTTTTCTTTGGTTTTTTAAATAGAACTAAAGTGCGACTCCGCGTCTGTAAAATACCGTATTTCCGAGCGAGTCTAGATATTCGCAATATTACTTAAAAAAAATTGACACGGTGATGCCTGTACGAACACCAATAATTTTCGAGATGTCTTCTAATTAATTTGAGATACGCGACGTTTTGCAATTTTACTTTCTCAAACTACGATTCTTCGTGGAACAATTAACCGTTCTACGATTATCAAACATGACAAAAGATCGGAGCGGTTATTTTATAAACGACGGAAGCATTAATTGCGACCAATAATTTTCAGTACTAAATAGTAACGATATTAAGACGCCACAACTCGTTATATTCGATGTCATTTAGTTAGTTTCGAACGAACATCTTGTATACGTGAAGTTCATAAAATACCTTGTCGTTGCAGTTTCGAGTACTTAAAATTCACGTATATAATGATAACACGGTAATGTTACCCTCAAAAAAGGATTGCCTAGATATATAAATAATATTAGGAATATCTTTGAGGCTCACAAGACAGGCTCATTATTATTCTCATACAAATAAAATACCACGTATCAGCTTGAAAGTTGCATCTTTCTAAATGTATCAAAAATTACGAGGAGCTATTAAATTCATCAACAAAACGTTCCAATGCAACATTTTAACATTCCGAAATATAAATATTAGCGTTACTCCAATTAATTTTATAATTTAAATAGTTTTTCTTCTTAAGTTATTTGTGCGTGCATTTGCTTGGTTTTGTTAGTGCATGAAAGACGAGGAATGTTCATTCCGATGTTCCGTTATAATATATATCGCGCGTATTATTATTTAATGATTACAAAGAGAGTATATATTTGAAACATATAAAAAATAAATATATGTGACGTATAAAATGTAAGTTCCTGTGTGTAGAATAACAATAATTTTTCCATGATCGCATCCCCATATCGCGTTTTTTTACTATAACTTAATAAGTAATTTTTATCAAGGAATTAATTAATCAGGAAATTGTTTCAATTAATCAGGTGATCGTTCGAATAGTAGAAATGGAAAGAAAATATCTTTCAAATTATCAACAATTCAATTTATTAAACGTATAATTTCGTTTCTCTCTTAATGTTAATTCAAAAAATGGTTAAACAATTGTATTATACGTTGCAATTGTGTATGTTTCCGATTACCTGAAAAATATATTTGTTTATTGACCGATGTAGCAAGTACGAACGACAGTCACAAATTTTGGCTACAACAATTCTAACTGTCGCTAAAACGCTCCCGTAATGATTCTAACGTACGAGTAATAAACATTTCTACGGAAGTACATTTCACGGTCGAGCGGACGTTATGAAGGTGATTATAAAAAATCGACCGCGTTGTCCAATCGCGAATAACGCTGGGAGATCACGGTCACCACCTCGCAAAGATCGCATCCTCTCGTTCCGGTTACTTTCACTGGAAGACCGATGACCGGTTGAACGGTTGAAAGTCGAGAAAGCTGTTCTCTGCAACGCGAGACGCGTTCGCGTCTGGTCCATCTCAAGCACGCTACTACAACATAGATGCCGCTTACAGTTGTAATCGGCAAAAAGGGAGTCGAGAGAGAAAGTGAAAGGAAAGGGTCCGGTGAAAAATAGGACGTCGATTAGGTGATGGCGATTTTTGCGGAACATCGTCGTAAGCGATCATCGTTTAAGGGACACGATTAAGTCCCTTATGACCCTCGAATGGTCAGCGAAATAAGATTAGCAAGTTTCGCCAAATGGCTTTACCAACGTATGCCTGGTATCCAGTACTGATTAATTGTCTTCTGTTCCACGATAAAAAATATCTCAATCTCACACAGAAAAAAGAATTAACGCGTTTGATTTAAAGAAAATAATATTTCCGGTTCTTGTGAATTAAATTCGGTTTTTAAGAAGCAGGAATTTCGTTCCTCGAACCATCTGGTTTGCTCACTATTATGCTGAATTATTCGGTTAGAACACAAATTTTCGTTGGGTTCGTCAGAAATCTTTTTGTGAGATGTTTTCACGAAAAATTGAATTGAAATATTATTATTAATTTAAACAATTCATTCAAATTCAATTGACTAAGTATTATTCAAATATTAAAGAATTTATTAAAAAATTAAAATAATTACGTATATATCTGCGTTTATTAATATTTCATTACACGTGAGCGTAACGAAGCATTGCGACACTAATTTCGGAATTGAGGAAAATGAAAGAAGATTAATCGGTAGATTACGGCAAAATTTTTGGCGGAAATAACGGCATAACGACGTTCTTTGAACAGCCTCACGTCGTTCAGATATTTAATTACACGATGGTGGCATTGGAGCGTTATAATTCCTAGTCGCGACAGGCTAATCTTGATCTTGGCTAGTAAGGTCGTTCAATGCACCTTCACGTAGTTTCTCGTGGAAGCGTGCCTGTGAAAGATACAGTTGTCGTAGTATCGCCGCATCGTATCCCGCCACATATGTATTGTATATATATTATCTTTGTGTATATGTACAGCGACTGGTAATGTTGCTGCCAAATTTATGTACGAGTACTATTGTGTACGTGGGTAGTTTTACGAGACATTGAGATGGAAGAACGTATTCGTCATCTATATGTAGTATTAGATCACTTTTATTGGTCGAGCTACACATATCGTGACAGACATTACGTGTCAGTAATCTCCGACAAAAAAAAAATGTGTCATGCCTGTTGCGTTCATTTACCGCAGCCTAATCTCATGTACAGATTCCATTAATGCAATCTCACTTCCTAGATATAATGACTACGAAAATTTCCACTCAGGCGCGTTATTTGCGAATATTCATGACTGTTGATTATTCGGTGAATCGGCAAGGATGCTCCAAAGCAACAATTATGACGCACCTGATTGAAAGTTTCAATCATTGGTTACTTTCCAGCAAGTTGATAGAAATTTAGTTATGTCATTTAGTGTTATTCCTTTCTTTTTATCAAATGTGAATTACGGACAAATAGGAAAATAACTAATGTTATTTTATCTAGAGAATGGAACAACATTAATGGAGTCCTCTGCACGTTCATATAAAATCGAAATTACGATTCTTTAATTATTAAACCCTATCGTGGAAGGCACTTGAAAATTATTCCGTTCGGCATTACACCTTTATCGAGGCCTCCGTCAGGACGATCGAATTATAGAGCAAGTGAGGAAAAATCAAATCATGAAAGTCTCGCGCCGGCTAGTGATATAACGGATACCGTGTCAATGTCAGCTAGAGTACGGAATCAAGGCTAATAATTCGCAGCAAAAAGAAGCCCCGCAGAATTTGCCGGCTGGAACGTGATAAGGGAAAAGAGTGAAAGGATAAGGAGCGGTACACGGCGGCCGAGAGAACCTCTCACGATTATTTGTTACGACGATGTATGTTTCCAAGCGACTTATGTACGTATATAACGCACGTGTGCGTTTTCATTCCTCTTTTCGCTCTCTCTCTCTCTTTCTCTCTCGTACGCTTTCTCACTCTCACCCTTTTATCTTTTCTCTCTCCCTTTTCCCGCATGCTTCTATTACTTTCTATTTTGTGTTATCCGACTATGTTTATAGGCGAGGCGTACGAGATTTCATCATTAACGTATACAAGTAACGTATACGTGCGGATGCAGAATTCCACGATATACAAGGTGTTGCGCATCGAACGAACTATCTGTTTTTTTTCGAACAGAAATCCACTCGAGTGAGATCCTCAAAGTGAAATTAATATTGAATAATTTCAACATTAAACGAGCGTTTCTGTTATATTTCTTGCCAAGAGTTCAAAGCTCTCTGGAATATTTTTTTTATTCTTTAAAATTGCTTGCAATTTTTAAATTAATAGTTTCTTTAATGTTTTCGCCAAGGAAAATTTGTTTTTTTAGTAATAATAAGACAATTTGCAGAGACACAGTTTGATAGGTAGATGTGCGACACCTTATATTGAGAATCCTGGGCGATGATTAATGCCGGTTGAAAAGTGCAAGACAAATCGTTGTTCTTTGCTTTCACATAGTTGCACGCGGAACATTGAAAAAAGATCTTCTTCCAACGATTAAGCCTAATATTCAAACAGACTTGATATTTCTTCATTTGCTGCTATTATTCTTATGAAGTCTTGTCAATTTTAGACTAATGTATCAATCTAATTTATATTCCGGCAATCTTCTTTCAACAGTGTGTATCAAAGTTGATAAAAATGTCACAGCTGTTATAGAATATCGCTCAAGTAAGCGAAATGGCAGTGTGTGAATATTAAGTAATTTCTTGAATAAAAAATAACCCTAAATCTCGGAGACAATAATTTTCATCCACAGTGACAGCGATCCATGGTCATCAATGAAACAAAAAGGTATTTTGCATTTCTATTAAGACCTTAAATAGTTAGACAATTAGAAAGATGCATCGGACAATACAGAGAGTACACAATACTTTCCCTGTCTCTTGCTTACAACGTTTCCTCTTCACAGACAATATGTATTGTCATAGTTTCCCTAATTAGTGAGAGATTTACATACATTAAATAAATAACTCTTACTTCGATTCAAATACTTCAACTCTTCGTGTTTTTCAATAGAGATGCGAAGCTGATATCGCGTGTGAAAAAGTAAGCACTTTTCCTTTCCTGGAGATGCCGGTAACACAGAATTTAGATGATTCATGAATAATTTTAGAAACTTTCAAGCACAATTTTGTTAATGTCATGGTGAAATCGCGAAAAACGAGTTTAAAATTTATAACGAAACGTAAATATATATCGTTGCGTAGAATAGCAAATTTCTATAATATATATTACGTCAGGCCGGAATTAGCGTTGCGTTGAGATCCGTGATGATATTCTTACGTTACTTGTTCGATTTAACAAGTCGATGCGATGCACTAATCGAACCAGTTCGCGGTGTCCATCCTTAATCAGTTCCTAATCAAACTTGTTCAATTCGTGTCTGACCAAACGACGGATGCGATTCATTTCTCGCGCGCGAAATGCATATTAAAGCGATCGTTAACAACTATCGCATTTTAAAGTAGCCCCATTAGATTCGTCATATCTGTGATTTAAGCATTTCCAGCAATATTTTATGAAGTAACACAGTATGAATTATAAATACATCAAAATATATTAACATCACACGAATATGTATAGTCAAAAAAATGATTTAGCTTCATAAATCGCCGCGTGTGGTAGAAGTGAATTTCCGACGATTAAGCTTGAAGAGGCATTTTTATGATGCAGTGCACGAAATATGAAAGCATTTCTATGAAAAATGTAATTTACGAATATATCATCAATATAGAGATATATAGAGATATACACTCGCTAATCGAATTATTTAGTTAATTGTATTTTGGAAATCGGGAAAAGTACTTAATTGATGGAAGTAATACTTCTGACCAGATACTGTCGTTATATGTTCAGATATCGAGTTAGGCCGATCAATTAAATCAATCTGTGCACATGTGTGCGTAACGTTGCGAAGATGAAATTCGCTCATAAGTAATGCGAGAAGGAAAATATGGCGCGAGTGTCACCGATGGAGTCTGATGTGCGGTCTCTCTTTCTTTCTTTCTACTTCCTTGTTGAAAATTTCCCATTCACGTAGGGAATCCACATGAATTATTACCTATATCTCTGGGTTTTTGGCGCAAATCCCCAGCAATAAATCTGTGGGATTCCATATGGATTTCCTTATGGATTCTTATCTGGTTTTTTTTTCAACCGGACTATTCATCTATCTATTTATTTCCCTCTTTTTCGGTGTTTCTCCTCTTTGTAGTTTCTTATTTTTCAAAGAGATATCAGTTCTTCTTCTAAAACTTCGTCCCGCGGAAGTTAATTATACGATCCGATATAATTCTTGCTTGTCAAAACGTTGGTGATCAATCATATGCATCTTCGTAAATATCGACGCCGGCAGTTCGAGGAAGCCCAGACGCGAATTTCTCTATGCCGCGGGTCACGACCGTTCGCTCCCATTCGCGTTAAATGCGCCTTACGGAAGGACGTATGTCCGACATCATCTGGCGAGTGCATGTATCCGGAATATCTCGCGGCGGCGAGGAGTGAGCCCACCAGTTTTGTACATCATACGCGTTTAGTTGCTCTTTCGACGGTATTTCTCCGTTGGTACAGCGAGATCCTCGTCTCATCCCCACCCGCTTCTTCCGGTACTTCCTCCGATCCGGTATATATATATAGGTAAGGCCACGGTCGCAAATATATGACAGTGTGTACCAGATCGTCGTGGTGAGCTGTGCGCAAGATAAGAGACAGGAGAAGGATCGGCGGATCCGACCGCGTCCTGGGTGGATCAGCATGGAGCCCAAATATGTAAGAAATTAAAGCAGGCAAAAACCGTTTGATGCCTTTTACCACGAGAGAGGGGGAGAGAGAAATTGGCACAGGAGACTCGATGAGTTTTTTAAAGGCTTTAAGAAACATTAACCCTTCGTTGACACACTTATTTTTTGCTGCTTAGTTTGGCACATTGGATCTGCGAGAGCCAGTAACATTTTTCATATGCCGTTACTCAGATAACTGCAAATATGCTTATCCAGTGTATTACAATTAAATGTACAAAGAGTAAATTTTAATTATTTGTCGCGATTAGTAATTTTAAAATATATAATTTAATATGTAAGAGAGTGTATTAATTCTACATAGAATGAAATAAAAAATTCTGCTTACTGTATAGAAAGAAAATTCTATTTTTATATGTACAATAATTCAAGACAATTTTAAGATTTTAATTTTTCGCTCGAGTCAATTTAACTCATGAATGCGAAACTAGGGTTAACAAAGTAAGAATTTTCGTTTGGAATAAAGTATGCAGGAAAGTATAAAAATTAACGAATTATCAAGTTTTATTTAACATCATTATAGATAAAGGCCTTCATCCTTGCGAATATCTTATCAGTTGGTTTTGCTACCTTTGGGCATGAACAGTAAGTTATAAATCTGATTATACAATTCCGCTAATTTCTTGTAATTTTATAAAGATAGAAGTAAATCTGTTGTCGTAATGTAATAATTATTTACCGTAATTTATTGTTATTTGCATATCGCTGTAAAATTTATGGAAATATTCCCATAGTTTATGTATTTAACGTTAAGATATAATTAACTTTAAGAACATATGGTAAGTTTAAAAGAATATAATGTGAAAGAAATGTATCGTAAAATACTTTTATATCGGCAATTACGGACTCCTTACGAGGTGTGTTAATTAAATTCCTTGGTTTCATTTTAAATACACTATTCATGTTTCAGCGTACACATAAGGATACACGTGCCGGAGATTGTGCAGCACCACGATAATAAAATCATCAAGTATGAGGATCACGACGGAGGCGGTGGTCACGGGGGTGGTGGTCACGGGGGTGGTGGTCACGGGGGCGGTGGTCACGGGGGTGGTGATGATCATCATCACATAGAAATCAGCGGTCCCGGTGGTTTTGGAGGCGGACACGGTGGCGGTGGTGGTTTCGGGGGTGGTTTTGGAGGTGGTCATGGAGGAGGTCACGGGGGAGGTTACGGTGGTGGCTTCAGTTTCGGAGGAGGGGGTCATGGCGACATTGGCGGAGGTGAGAGTGAATCGTATTTCAAAGTCATATTCCAGTTTTCAGCATTGTTATTTTTTAATCAATTTCTTATCTTTCGTTCCGACGTAAACAATGCACGCAGAAGATTTTTCTTGAATAATCTACCAAGCTAATAGTATAATTATACCTTAAGTCTAGTAAATTATATTATAATTTACTGAACTTTTGTATCGTCCGACTGGGATATATTCATATTCAACCTAAAATTGATATATGTCAGCTAGAAACGAATAGTTTGATTAGATATATTTCTGAACGCTCATCACAATTACTTATCTTTGATTTCATCATGACACGATGATGCGAGCAGATCGTCGCGGTGAATTTTCTAATGTGCACTGTAGCGAAACTTTTCGAACCACAGCCACCTTTTCCTCTCACTTTCGAGTACCGAGAAAGTTACAAGCGTAATACAGCTACTCAAGGTGTCACGTACATGGCCGTACTACTTTGTCGATTAAAGACACGGTACACGTGAGAGAGAGAGAGAGAGAGAGAGGAAGAGCTGAATCGAGATTGTCTATCTCGGCATATTCGGTGAATGTACACTCATGAGAAAATCACGGAGGTCCGTTACTTTCGTTTCTCCTATTGTTTCACATGATGACGTTTCGTAATTGTAATTAATTGCGAACGTGACTCTTTAAATATTAGGTGGATAAATAAGTTTGGTGCCTTTTTAGCATGATTTTAATGTTTATTCACAAAAAAAAGAAAAAAAAACGTATGACCTGTTAATCTTCGAAACAGTCCCAATCATTTCCTTCACATTTTTGTCATTTTTCGAACGAATCTCGCTTCGATAAAAGGATGGTAGTTTTGACTCAATGAAGTCATCGATGTTTGTTTTTTGGATCTCTTCCATAAAGGCAAGGTCTGGAGAATAAGCTGCATGCATTTCCCAGCACAAAGAAGTTTCAGGGTCGCTTTTGCCATGCGTGGCCGCGTGTTATCGTGCAGTAGAATCACCTGCCGGTAAATAGTCTTTTACGCTCGATTTCGCCATGCAGAATGAATGAGTTGCTGTTGATAACGTTTCACCGGGGGTTAGATGCTCCTTTTCGGACGTGATAACTACCGTTTCTTGCAATTATGTCGTCAACTATTATAGTGCTTCTTAAACCTTAAAGCTGGCAAATTATCCTAGAACGGGAGAAAAACTAAAATTTGGACCAGAGTTACAAGACGTAAAGGCACTTATTTATACACCTAATATGAATATGAGATTGCGGAGTGAAACAGTATAATTTTAAAGCATATTTTCCGACAGGTGGACACGGAGATATCATCATAGATCATGGTGGTGGTGGAGGAGGTGGTGGCGGCCACGGAGGTGGCCACGGCGGTGGTGGTTACGGCGGAGGAGGGGGTGGTGGCGGCCACGGAGGTGGTCACGGCGGTGGTGGTTACGGCGGAGGCGGCGGTGGAGGTGGCGATATAATTATAGAGCACGACGATCATGGCGGCGGTGGTCATGGAGGAGGCGGTGGTGGTTACGGCGGAGGGCACAGCGGTGGTGGTTACGGCGGAGGTTACGGAGGTGGCGGCGGTATAATCATTGAACACGGTGGACATGGCGGCGGTGGTGGTTACGGAGGAGGAGGTGGTTATGGAGGAGGCGGCGGACACGGCGGCGGTGGTTATGGAGGAGGAGGTGGTATAATCATTGAACATGGAGGACACGGCGGTGGTGGCGGCTTTGGAGGTGGATACGGAGGAGGTGGCCATGGTGGTGGATATGGAGGTGGGGGCGGTCACGGAGATTTCGGAGGAGGAGGACACGATTTAAGCGGCGGGGATCACCACTTTGGGTTCAGCAGTTACAGCAATAGCATATCATCTGGTTTCGGTAGTAGGTAAGTTTTAGATCGATCGGTTGTTAATAATGATCAATTTCTAGATATTTTTTAAGAGGTGAATGTAAAGAGACTGGAATGGTAAAATATATATTGTTTTTCAGCGGACACGGTGGAAGCAGTTACAGTTCCGGCGGTGGCTACGATTCGTATTCAAGCGGTCATGGTGGTGGTGGTGGTGGTGGCGGAGGAGGAGGAGGAGGGGGAGGAGGCGGTGGACATGGTGGTGGTGGTGGTGGTTACTACCACAAGAAGAAGTAAAAGTGACTATCGTGACTAATGTATTACACAAAGTGTGCAATGGAAACACATTGGCATTTATTTCAATCGACCAATGCAGATGAGTCTGTAATATCCTTGAATGACCATCATTTCAATGATGTCATTTTGATTATAATAATCATCCGAGCGAGATATATATGTACGGACGGTTTCTCTCTTATTTCTTTCGATGAATCGAGATATAGCCACGTTTAATCAATATTTGTTTTTGCAACAGAGAAATTATGGTTTCGCGATGTTGATTGCTTTTGACGGACAATGAACGGAATATATTAAAAATAATCATTCTGATAATTTTACAGAAAACTGTTACACGACAGACAAACATGTAATTAAATAAGCAAATGTGAACTGATATATATATCTATAGTCGAAATTAATGTTCTTTCATGACTCTACGCAAAATTCAACATGACGATTACGGACTGACTATGTTTACTTTGTACAGCATCTGAATAAGATCAAAATTAATTCAGAATTTCTAAAATTAAATGACGTCATAGATTACATTAAATAAGCAGACTTGATTGATACTTTTGACATATTTTCTTTCTAAATTATTTGTATAATACAATAATAACGCAAGCTGTTATTTCGTGTGATTAATGACGACTCAATTTATGCGACAATGTACGACAACAATAACAACATTGTTTGCAACAATGTACGATGAACAGTTATAGGAGAACGTTAAACAATTCTGTTCTCTTAAAGATAAATTGAATATCACACTTCTCTTATTTATATTAAATCATCTATTCTTTACATTGTTATTTCAATATTTCACTTCAAAATTAAAAATCGTTGGTTTTACTGCTGGTGATAATGTAAAAAACGGATGTAACTGAGTATACGAAATTTAACAGTTTGCTAGCAACTCGAGCGATCCTTGAAAAATATTATAAAACACGTAAGTCGGATTTTGAAAGCTATCGAACTTGCATCATCATAACTCATAATTACGATCATGTTTGTGAGCGTACTTCCGTACTTTATTGTAAAATCTGGTATGTACCTCAATTTAGACCTTCATGTGCCTTGTTCACTTTAGCACTTCGCGCAATTAGCATTGCATTTACATGCGATTGCGATTCATCTGCCTAAGTGATTCACACTTAGAGCATGTTATGTTTGTATGTATATCTTGTAAATACAGCTTTATGTTTCGCGATATTGTTTTTAATAAAGTTTTTATATGTTTTTAATATGTCGTTTTACTTCCTCCTCTATGTCCAATTTTCTCTTTCCAATCAAATTAATGAATTATTTACAATTACTTTGTGCACATAATGAAGACGTTCACATGTATTGAACAAAGCAGGCAAGAATAAAAACACATATTACAGGATTTTAGGCGCGATACTTTAAACCAAATAGGACGATAACAATGCTTCACGCTTTATTATTAAAACATCTCTAGACTTTTTCAAACGTTACATGGTTCCGCTATCCTAAATTGACTCTGACAATAGCTCCTACATGGAGAAATATAATTTAGAAGGGATAATTTGGAAGGAGAGAGCAAATTTGTATACTGTCTTAGTAAATAAATAAATACATACATGCTTCTTAAATACTATCTGGTATTTTAGAAGTTGATATTTGCGGTTATTTTATAAAAACAAGTTTGTGTGGACATACCAGGTGTAGTAGTATGAAACCGGAATTTCCCTATAGATGGTGCTAGCCATCAGTTTAGGGACCGTAAGACCGCTTCTGCAGCGCCATCATCTCCCTCTAACAGCTAACGAAGATTTTCAACACACAACAACCCAAGTTCCATACACCGGTATATTTTTCTATAACCTTAAACATGTTGTCGAGTTTTGTGCCTACGAACTACGATTTGCGGACAGCATTGGTTTTTTGTTATCATTTGAAGAAAACTGCTGCAGAATCGCATCGAATGCTTGTCGAAGCTTACGGTGAACATGCTCTTGGTAAAACACAATGTTTCGAGTGGTTCAAAAAATTCAAAAGTGGTGATTTTGACGTGAGAAACGAAGAGCATGGGAAACCACCGAAAATGTTCGCAGACAACGAATTGCAAGCCTTATTGGATGAAGATGATACTCAAACTCAACAAGAACTCGCGGATGAATTGAATGTGACGCAGAAAGCTGTCTCGATTCGTTTGAAAGCCATGGGAAAGATTCAGAAAGTGGGAAAATGGGTTCCGCATGAACTGAATGAAAGACAGCAAGAAAATCGAAAAACTTGTGAAATGCTGCTCGACAGATACAAACGAAAGTCCATCGTATCATGACATGTGATGAAAAATGGATATATTTTGTGAATCCTAAGCGTCAGAAATCATGGGTGAATCCAGGCGA